TGCCCCCCCCCCCCCCAACAACTCACTAAACTGCCCTATGGGGAGATGGGGTGGCAGCTTCAGCAGGTTCAGCCTCTGGTCCACCCTCTACCCCAAGGAGGGGCTCGGGCAGATCCCCCGATCCCCAGGGAGAAGCGGCCCCCTGCATCTACAGCTGATGTCAGCACCTGCCTGGAGCAGGGCCATGCTATAGATGTGGGGCAGTTGAGGGGGAGGAGGGAAGGGGAAGAGGGAGGCAAAGAGAGGCAGGTTTGCCCATGATGAGTGGCAGTGGCTGGTGCTGGGTGCCAGGCAAAAGCAGGAGGTGGCAGCAGGTGTGCTCACCATTTCTGGGGCAGTTTGGGCTGTGATTGCCCTGCAGCTCCTCCCAGCTGCTGTTGCCCCACCCCACCTCCAGGTTGCCCCAGACAATGGTGGCAGCAGGGAGGAGCTGGAGGGCAGCTTTGGGGTGGGCTCTGGGAAGCCACAGCCAGAAGGGTGCCAGAAGTGCTGAGCACACTCACTGCCAGGTCCTACTTTTGCCTGGCAAGCAGCACCAGCCACTGCCACACATCATGGGTAGGGCCGCTTAGCTCTGTCTCTGTCTCCCTCTTTCCTGCCCCCTGCCCCTTGCCCCCCCAAATGTCCCACACCTGGAGCATGGCCCTGCAGCTGGAAACAGCACCAGATGGGTGCATCAGCTGTGAATGCAGATGGAAGCTTCCCCTTGAGGATTGAGGCATCCTCCCAGGTCCACCGGTGATGCTGCTGCAGCAGCATATCAGCTGTGATCCCAGGCAGTTGCCCCAATCCCCAGCAGGAATCTGCAGGCAGCATCCACAGCTGATGCCAGCATGCACCCGGCACTGCTTCCCGCATGCGGAGCCAGAACTGGTGTAAGCTGTGGATGGGATGGGACAGGGCCGTGACATGCTCTCCCGCCCAGCACGATGCAGCAGCCGGAACTGCTGGCTCCTTACAGGACGGATCCTATGACTTTGTGGCTACTGACCTTTGTGCCAGATACAACCAGTTGGGGGGCCAGATCCAGCCCATGGGCCATATTTTGCCCTCCCCTGGTTTAAAGTGTATTAGTCTGAATGTAGATATTATTAACAAAATGGGTCCTGACTCTGCTCAAGTCAATGGCAACACTTTTATGACTTGAATGGGGCCAGGATAACTCCTGATGGGTTTTATTGTACACACACACACACACACACACACGCACACACTACAATACAGTCCTAGTTTTATAGGGCCTCAGCTTTTACTGCTCATATTGACCTCATACAGAGCTGTGAGTGCTCAGCACCTCTGAAATCAGACTCCAAATTACTAATTAGACTAGGGAATGCCTGAATTTCCCCTTCCAGGTCAAAGTCACTTTTCTCCACCACCCACTCTCAACCAACATGTCCAGCCCAGCACAT